GCTTATTAAGCCCAATTTTGTCTGGGCCCGAGGTGGGCTTAATAACCGGCGATTACTGCGCTTCGTGGGCGCATTTGGTCCCGTTTAGGCTGGTGTCAATTAATTTGCCTTCTAGCTTGTGTCTTTTTGCAAATAGTAAGGAAATATAAGCTCTTTCTAAGCCGACAGCTTAACTGCATTAAGCTTGTGTGCAACGAAAGAGCAGACAAATTGTTTCGACATGACTGGGTGTCTTCAACCTGTCCATGTCGAAACTGACATTTTATTTTATCCCACAGTACATTTACTACCTTTTTAAGGTTCTCTAAGTCGAGATTTCGTCATTTTGTACCTTACGAAGCAATTTTCTTCTCCCGTCCCTCCGAGTAAATAAAGAGTGAGCGCAGTGTTCGCTACTTGTTGACCTGCGCGTCGTGGGCTCATTTGGTTCCGTTTGGGCCGGTGCCCATTAACTTGCTTTCTAGCTTGTGTCTGTCTGCAAATAGTAAGGAAACATGAACTATTTCTAAGCCGACAGCTTAATTGCATTAAGCTGTGTGCAACGAAAGAGTAGACAAATTGTTTCGGTCTGACTGGGTGTCTTCAACCTGCTCATGCTGAAACTGACATGTTATTTTATTTAACAGGACTTTGGGTGTCGTCCTTCGCCAATTTCTTACAACAGATGAGCTGCCCGGCAAATTGCGCAGCCAAGCTTAGGGTAAATGTTAGACGCAACGAAGTTTCAACGTTCATTTAAGGTTTTTAAGTGAACTCTTTTCAAGCCGACAGCTTAACTGCATGACGCTTGTGTGCAATGTTTCGGCTTGAGGAGGTGTTCTCATAAAGATCATTGCTGATACTGACAATTTTATTGATTTAACGAGACATGCGAAACCGTTTAAGATTGTGTGCCTGTTTAGTCAACGGGTGTTTGGAAATTCACTTTGGGCAATTCCAGCCTAGGACAAGACTCCCCTAATCTAAGAATCCTCTTTCTTTCTAGTAGAACACTGCCAAACTATTAAACATAAACTTCCACCAACGTCTGAGGTTTGTTGTTCAATTCAAGGTCTGACGAGGCTCGTACGCGATAAACCGTCGGTGGAGTTTCAGATGTCAGACTTAACAGGAATTGGGTGTCTTGCCGCGTGTCGAAGTCGGAAGCTGAAATTAAAAATTTGACTGCTGTCTGCTGCCAAACGATGGCATTAACAGTAAAGGTCGGCTAGATCAGTCATGATCGCAGCCGTAACAAGTACAAGTACAACTAACAGCAGAGTGATTGCTCGTGTCTATGTATAAGTCTTAATTTGATGCCTTATTCTGTCCCCTGTCAGTTGTCTGCGTTGAACCTTTCCAACAATCGTCTCAGTCACCTTCAGTCTTTCGCCGATATCGCCGCCAAGGCAGGATCAGTGACGTTCTCAATTGAACGCATCGATTTGAGTGGAAACTTCTTCCACCATCCTAACAACCTCCAGCCACTTCAATTTGTGCCTGGCCTTACGTCATTGGATATCTCGGAAACTCCCCTGGGCGGTAAACTCCAGAACTCGGCTCAGGCCAAAACCCTTCAAGCGTAAGCTTCAGCCACAGTTATTTCACTTCAAACCTACGGTATTCCAGCTATCTCAGAATGAGAGTTATAATTTTAGAAGCGGAGTGCACAAGTGAAACCGCATTGGCGGAGAAAATTTTAATGCGGTAAGGAAGAACAGACTCTCACTTTGGAAGCCCTACCTTGCGGGAAGGCTGAAAACCCGAAATCATAAGCCTTCGGGACGATCTACGTCGTTACCCTGTCAGCCTATTTTCAGGACAACTTTAATTAAGGATAGGCGTTGGTTGAGAAACCTCCCATATTCGCCTAGAACCGAATGGTTCATTC